CTGACACAGCCAGAGGGATGACCTCACATCCGCTGTCACATGAGCATGAACAGAATCTCAAACAGGAAGTGACTGTCCAGCGTCTCTGACTGCTTCCTGATGTGGGTCAGAGGGGTCGTGATGAGTGTTACTCTGACCCGGCGAAGGCTCCAACAGAAAAAAGACTAGTCACCACTTCCTGTTGGAAGCGTAGTTCACAGATGAGGCAGGAGGGGGCAGTGTGTGCCCACAGCGCAGCGAGCTGAGTGTAGGTGTGAGAGGAACATATTTTAATACACTGAAATAAAACATAAGTGTGTGCTTTTAAAAAAACAGGAAGTGACTTCATCTTTGGGCCAATGAGACTGGGGAACGCTGCTGTGTGGACCTGAGCTCTGACACGTTCAGCCTCGACATTCCTAACCTTCCCGCTTTCCTTTTCTTAACCCGCAGAGATGACGACGACATCAACGATGTGGCTTCGATGGCTGGCGTCAATCTCAATGAGGAGAACGCCCGAATCCTCGCCACCAGCTCGGAGCTCGTGGGCACAAAGATCCGCTCGTGTAAAGACGAGTCCTTCCTGCCGAGCGGCCTGCTGCTCCGCCGCATCCTGGACACAGGTCAGTGCGAAAACGCAGCAAATCAGCGGGTCTCCTGATTGTCCTGTACCTGCTCAGGTATCACGTCTGAAAGGACCTCCTCCTGCAGGGAGGAGTCTAAAATTAGTTCGAGGACAGGAGGAGAAGGCGCTGATGAAGACGAGTTCAGAAAGGAAATGAAGCTCGACCTGCAGAAACCACCTGCTGACGTGCAGCGGCGTCCCGTCCTGATGATCTGTTTTCTCGTCCTCAGCTAAGAAGTTTGGCGTCAGCGAGGTCCCGCCAGAAGTGGTGAACCTGGTTTCCCACGCCACGCAGTCCAGGCTGCGCACCCTGCTGGAGAAGGTTTCGGCCATCGCACAGCACCGCACGGACGGCGGGAAGGTGAGAACGCTCGCAGCGTGCCTCACCTGCGTTTAGACCGAGCCGCCGTCGGGCTGTTTCAGGACGACTCCGCTGTAGATCTGCTGTTACCCGTTTCTCTCCTCCCCCATCAGGATGAAGAGCGCTGCGAGCAGACGTCGGACGTTCGCTCTCAGCTGCGTTTCTTCGAGCAGTTGGAGCGTTTGGAGAAACAGAGGAAAGACGAGCAGGAGAGAGAGATGCTGCTGAAGGCCGCCAAGGTACGTTCGTGTGACCTGAATCGGCGTTTCTGCGTCACCTTTCTGAAGAGTTTAAAATGAAATGTTTTTGAAAGAAGCTGAGTTTGAAGAGGACCAGCTTCCTGTTCCCCTGAAAGTTAACGATGCAGCACGTTTTATGCAAAGTTCTATCAAATATACACTAAATAGAAACGATCACTAAACTAAACACAAAATAGAAACGAGTAAATCAAACTGCAATTGTATAAAAGGCCGGGCTTCTGCTTCTGAGAGACCAGGCAGGCAAGTTGTTCTAAAGATCAGGAGCCAATGGGAAGCCTGTTAAATCTGCAGGAGCAGCTGGTTGGTGGACCTCAGCGCCCGCAGGATTATATGGTTTCAGAAGTTCTAAGTAAGCTTAAAAACAAACAGCTCGCATGCAGCGAAGTCAGATCAGAGCCAACGAGCTGCAATGACGGAGACGTTGGGTCGATGTGTGTCTGTGAATATGCACCAGCAGAGGACCCACATCAGAGCCCTGTGGAACTCCACGTGATGTTTGTGTGTGAAAACTCACCAAGAAGATTCATGTTTCTCTAAAGGTTAGAATTACGTGGACGTCAAATCAAACTGTGTTTCTATGGGCCTGCCCAGTGATCAGTGTTTCCACCAGAGATGTGCAGAGCAGCCGGCATTTGTATTTGTGTTTGAGTAAAATTCAAAATAGGCGTAAAAATCCATTTTTTTGCGTTACACTTCTAATTAATGTTATAGTAAGTATTCTTTAATTATATCATTATAATAATTATGGATATGCAGCATTAGTTGATGTGTTTGCATAAATCCAGCAATGAACATGTAACAAGGAACGTCATTGAAAAGAAAATAATAACAGCTATCCATGGTTACAATACCACTGTGAACATTATGACCCCACCACCCGTTCTTGTTGCAGGGGCAGAACATGTCTGTGATGATGAACTGGTGCTTGTTGGCAGACAGTATCAGGAATAAGATGCTTTAAGTGCATGTGATTATGCATAACAGATGTTGACAGATGTTTGATTTCTCTGCTGATCTGACTTTTGCACACATTACATATCAGTTTGGTTTCATCTGCAGCACTGAGTGTGAGATGCTTCCACACAGAACGTGATCGAGTTGTTTTGGCTGGTGGAGACCAAGCGGTGGCTCAGCAGCAGCCACTGTTTCCATGTGGGGAGTTTCAGCTAAGTTAATGAGTGAATGGACGGGAAGCTCTGCTAAGGTTAACTAGCCTGTAGCCTACGTCTCGCTGTCTGCAAAAGACAGACTAACTTAAACGTACATATGACTCCCACAGGTGCATGCAAGTCGACACAACTACACAAGCATAGTTTTAACCTTTTAAACCGAACTTTAACGTCACTCTGTCAACAGCCTGTTGTCCAAATCCAGTCCCCAACCTT